ACTGAACTGATCCAGATGTACTCCAAAGACTGGTGATTTCAGATTACCTTGGCATAGAGAGCCATGAAAAAATAGTGATCTTTTTCTTGTCTTCTAGAGCAGACTACGTACCAGTAATCTATACGCTTATTCTTTTCCTCAAAGGCATAATTTCAGGATCTATTGTTTGATGGTCATAATTGTCAGTTTTCTTACAACTGGGTAAGATATTATTTATTTTCAATTAACTCATACTACCATATCCATAACTCCAGAAGCATCTGCAACTGCTTTCCTTTTATTTTTAGTATGTAAATACTTGAAAAGCCCAATTCATCCAGTCCACAATCTCATGATTTTTCAAGCTCTATGTCCAAAGTATGTCTCACATTTCTTTGACCCTACCTAAGGATCAGCATGCCTTTCATGTGGTAAGCACTAACATGGTCTGTCTCCAATGTGTATTCTCTAATTATAAACCTAACATATACCCATAATAGAAAATTTGGAAAATATATAAAAGCATAAAAAACAAAAAAATCACCCATAATCCACTCCCTAAGAGATAACTACTGTTAACACCTTTGTATATTTCTTTCCAGTCTTTTTTCTATACAGACAGATTTAAAAAACAAAAATAGCAAGGAACCACACATAGAGACATTATTTATATAGAGAATACATATTTTGCATACTACTTTTTATACTTTATCCTGTTTCATTTCCAGTTCTTTGGAACTGGAAGCCTGGGTGGCTCAGTCGGTTAAGTGTCCAACTGTTGATTTTGGCTCAGGTCATGATCTCATAGTTCATAAGATTGAGCCCTATGATGGGCTGTGCACTGACAGCATGGGGCCTGCTTGGGATTCTCTCTCTCTTCTCTCTCTCTCTGCTTCTACCCCGCTCAGGTACTCATGTTCTCTCTCAAAATAAACTTTAAAAAAAAAAATCTTCAAAAATATGCCTTTTAATGGTTATATATTACACTATATTAATGTACCCTATTTAATGTTGGACAAATTTAGATTTTTTTCAATTGCATAAGTGCATCATTCACACACTTGCTCACGTGCACACACAAATTCTCCAAACACAAATATAAACATATATGCACATATATGTACCCACTGTGGTGACCATTCTCACAATGTAAAACTCTAATGATTTCCTTATCACAGATGAAAAACAATAGAAACACTGAGTGGAAAACTATTAATGTTTTTAATATTCTTTTTTTTTTTTTAATTTTTTTTTAACATTTATTTATTTTTGAGACAGAGAGAGACAGAGCATGAACAGGGGAGGGTCAGAGAGAGGGAGACACAGAATCGGAAGCAGGCTCCAGGCTCTGAGCTGTCAGCACAGAGCCCGACATAGGGCTCAAACTCACGGACTGCGAGATCATGACCTGAGCCGAAGTCGGCCACTCAACCAACTGAGCCATGCAGGCACCCCTAATATTCTTAATATACACTAACTTCTATCCAAAAGTAATATATCTAATTTATAATCCCACAAACAGTATACAAAATACTATGTTCACCAAACCGTCAGCAAGCACCAAGTACTTTTTTAAAAAATTGTTTTTAATGTTTACTTATGTTTTTCAGAGACAGAGAGAAAGAGTGTGCAGGAGCAGGGAGGAGCAGAGAGCGAAGGAGACACAGAATCCGAAGCAGGCTCCAGGCTCCAAGCTGTCATCAAAGAGCCTGATGAGAGACTCGAACTCATGAACCAAAAGATCATGACTTGAGCCTAAGTCGGCTGCTCAACCGACTGAACCACCCAGACGCCTCCAAGTACTTTTTTAATATAAAAAATCTTTTACTCATTTAATCCATATAAATTAGAGTATCAATTCACTTGTCACTTATTTAAGGTTTCATTCTTACCATATTTTACTGACCATTTGTTTTGTAAATTTTGTTTGCAAATGATTCCTCTATGGCATTCATCTGTTTTTATTAGGTCTCTATACATGCTAATGAAATTAAACCTTTATTGAGTTTCTCATCTTGTTGAGAAGATGATGGTGTTCTGACATCTACACACTTTGAGATTTTATGTTGTTGTTGGTTTTAAGTAAATCAACATTATGATTAATTTCCTTTAAAGTTTCTTCCTTCATTTTTCCATGTAGTAACTCCTTCCTGTCCTGAGATCAAATAAATGTCACATGTAATGTATGTTTTGAGATTTGGAGGAGGGAACTACACATCCATTATTCCAGAGGTGGGTGCACCATGGTTTGTAAGAGGATTAAATACATTTTCAGCTTTACTTTTTATTCATCTTCTAGATAATGCCAACATTTTGCCAAGATTTTATGATCAAAGAGGGAGAACATCTTCTAGAACATGAGTTGTGATAGTAATGGCTTGTTCATAATCCATCATCCTACACATTTACTTTATTTTCTAATACATTACACACCTTTGCTTTCTCTCTGCTCACTTAAACCTCTGTTACAATCTTAAAAGACCTTTCTGCAGCGTACTGTATTCCTGTCGCTTCGGCATTTCCTTAGCCAACTGGCCTTATCTCTATTCTGGGTGGTAGCAGCGAGAGGAGCCGGATGCCGAAGGGCCTTGCAGGCCCCTGTGAGAACACTGCCTGTCACCCTGAGTGAGATGGGGCGCTGCAGGGCTTTCAGAAGGAGCAGCATGATGGAATCTAACTGATCAAGAAGTAATACAAGACACTGAAACGAAAAGATAACCAGAAAACTTTTTTTTTTTTTTTTTTACCTGCTTGGCCAAACACACAGCAAATTGAACTGATCAGTCCAATCCAGAAAATCAGTTGTAAATTCATCTGAAATACAAAATGTACATGGCTAAATATTAAGAAAATAACAAAAAAGATAACACGTTAAACACAAAACATTCCCAGTCACCTTATCTTCTGGTGATTTCATAAACATAATACCTCTCAGACCATTTCTTCTGCCATCCTTCTTTATATCCTTTTTCCCACCACCTCCCCTTCCCCGTTACCTCATCTTTCACTTACTCTACAATAGTTTCCGTGCCAGATCCCTGAATCCATTCTTGCCTTTCTCCCTATCAAATATATTTTAACATCTAATTAACAGTGCTCAAAAAAGTGCCAAGTATTCGCTAACACCATAAAAGCTATTAACAGTCTTTGTTCCACGGAATCTCTCTCTATGCCTATTACCTTCTGTGGCTCCTATGGGGGCCACACAGCCAGCCACATCCAGATGCCTCCGTTACCTCAATACTGAATTTTGAGTGAACCGGTCGAAATCCTCACGGTTCACCCCCTTGATTACAACTTTTCAATAATTTCCATTTCTCCTCAGGCTAAAACCAACATCCTATACAAGGAAGGCCTGACTTAATTTTTGAGTCTGATCTCCTAGAATTAGTTATCTTTTTAAATAAAATCAACTTCTATGCATGGGATTAGTGAAATATTCCATTCAATTCCCTGTAATTTCTAGATCTACAAATGAGACCTAAAAAGAAAAAGTTTGGGAGGGTAGCTTAAGAAGACCTGACAGAGGCTTAAATGTCTCCCAGAATCTCCAAAGATAAATTAAGTATTATCCTGTATATTATTCAGAATTATCCCAACCTGCACCCATTAGGTATAGGACTATTTTCCATTTTCATAATATTAATCTACACTTTAGCAGAGCTGGTCAAAGATGGGTCTCGCCACAGGTCACTAACCCTATCCTTTAACTGTTTACTGTTCTTGGACCAGGAGCCAATTATGCATGAATATCTGCCTCTCCCACAAGAATACAAAAACCAAATACAGTATAGACCAAAAATGCTTTTAAAATGATTTTGAATGTAAAGTACATATTCAGATGACATGTATGTAAAAATTACAGTGTACAAACATAAAGTACATACACATAATATAAAAATAATAGGTTTCTTTGTCTTGAAACTGTCATAGTGTTTTCTTCTTTTCACTTTCTTCATAAAAACAATTATGGCTGCGTAACTGTGTTGGATTTTCTTCTGTCTTGGTAAATTTCCTTTAGTAGGAAAAACATTTCTTAAAAAACAAACAAACAAACCTCTAGCTTCAAAAGCTTCTATTCTAGGATGCTATTCCCACTGCTCTGGGAGAGTGCTTCAAAATTGTGCTCAGAGCACCCCAGGATTCCTGTGCCTCTTCTGCTGTTAAATGCTGTTTAAGCTTTCTCTGTTGGCTTCCCAGAGAAGAGCAGTAAGAATAACTTGCGTAGCTACATACTCTACACTGTGCTCAGACCAGAAAGTTCTGCTGTGCCACGAGCTTATAGTTTTGCTTACATATCACTTGTAACTGCATCCGAAAGACCGACAGAGGCAGAGTGTCATGGAAACAGGCCATGCCTGCAGTTTGCCTTCTATGGCCTATCCAACAGGTTTATGTGCCATAAATCCACATAGACTAAAATTCTAAGCAATTTGCATAATGTTATCAATTCCAAAGTTATGACAAAAAGGGCCTGGAACATTAAGACTGTGATGAATGGACCATCTGGGCAGTTTCTACACAAAGTGAACAGAACAAATATTTGTTCCATATATGGGCTGATATGTGTTTCCTCAGGATATTCCTCAGGCTACTTCATGACCACTAGACTGCTTTGAAAAACCTTTTAAAATATTACACAATTCAGAGGGTTACCACTAAGCTAAAGTTACTAGGTCACAGAAACATTCTATTATTAGTCAGCCTCGCAACCTTATGCTATGTACCTTTAAAATATTACTTTAACCACCCTGTCCTTTTCCTTCTGCAAACCTTGACAAGCCAGAGATCAGCCTTCTGGAAGAGCTCCAGACCCAGAAGGCAGAACAAGGCTTTAGTGTTGAAGAGCAGCTGAGAGAACAGGACAGGAGCTGAGAACAGTTTCAAGGACACTTGTCAACTCTCCTGTGACTGGTCAGCACACTCACAAGACACAGAGAGGCACTGTCATTGGCTGGTTACGCCTGTAAAAGGCCAGTCTTTCCCTCAAGGAAACAGAGAAGCCACTGGAGACAGAAGAAGGCAGCAATGAAGAGTAAAGAGCAGTGAGAACAAGGCTGAGAAGAGACCGGGTTAGAAGTGGCCAGGAAGAAAGTACGCCATAGAGAGCAGGACATGCGGAGGAAATGGCACAGAAGATTCAGCAGCCTCCCCGTCAATCCAGCTCTTGAAGGTACTAGATACTCCTGCATGGGTGGGGAGAAGAAGGACACTCCAAGAGCTTCCTGCAGCATTTCAGAACCTCCTCAGGAAGCACTTCTCCAAGTGTGGCCTTGTAAGTATCCACTTTAGATTTACCTGGATGCCCACCAGGGCCTAAAACCACAAGCTCGGTAGGTGAGGCTTGTGCTCCACTGATTCCCAAGCAAAGGAGTTTCCTACCAAAGGCATTCCATGCAGAACAGTTCAGTATGAGGGGCCAACAGGGAGAGATGCCTCCAGGCATTATCCTGATCCTATCTTTTGTCTCCTGTTTGAAATCAAAGGCCTAGAAAGAGTTATCTACACTGTTCTCCATTCTGTAATCCCCTACTCCCTCCTCAACCAGCTGTAACTGGTGTCCATTTCCTACCGTGCATGTGAAACTGCTCTTGCAAAAGAGAACCCTCCAGGACTTATCTTACTGTCTGCATTCATTTATTCATTCATTCATTCACTCAAAAATGTCTTGACTGCCTATAATACGTATTCTGCAAGATACATCAGTTTGCCACCCACAGAATTCACACAAAGCACTTAATACACATCGCCATTCTTTCTTAATGCACTCTAGTCCTCGGGCTCTCCTGGTTTCTCCCCCACTGCTCTGGAAGTTCCTCCTCTGCCAACTATGTCCGGTTTTGTGCCATATATGGAGATACAAAATTTGCTGTCTCAGGAATTTTCCATTCCAAGACAAAAATACAAATGATTACAATATGATATAATGGTTTCTGTAATGAAAATAAGGACAAAGTGCACTGAGGACACCAAAATCTGCCTAGCCACGTTCAGTGGCTTCATGAGTTTGGCAACACTAGAAATGCAGACATATGGGAACCAGGCAGGCAAATGGAGAGAAGTGTTCGAGGCAAGAGGTTAGTACGTGCAAAGTCATGGAGTCCCGAGAAGAATTAGATAACTTCTTTCCAATCTTATTTCTAAACATACATGTTTGGGTGACTCCCCAACCCTCACCACCCAACTGGGATTGTCTCGCTCTAGCTTTACAGAAGAAAGACTAGAAAACATGTATCTATATGTTATTTGTAAGCTAAATCTAGTCTGTGGGAAGGAATATTTTTATCCCTGTAATTTTCTAAAGTACAAATTATGTTAAAATCTTAAAAAATCATAAAGGCCAAAAAGAATCTTAACATACTTATGCATTTCTGAAACTTAAGTTATGAGATGGGAAAAAGAGAAACCGAGGACAGCAAGGCAGGAGGAGTTAGGTTGCAGCCAGCCAGCCATGCCCAGTTGAGATACTACCCGATACACAGCAGGGAGACACCACAGGATGGAGCAGCACATGCCACACACATACACACACATACACACACACACACACACACACATACACACACACAAAAACCACACTCATGGCAGAAAATCAGCAAGGGAGGGGAGGAGGGTCAAGACAAGAGCTACAAACGGGCACCGCTCTCACTGCTGAGGTTGGGCCTAAATGAACTCACACGGTAGTGATGAACAAGAAGACAAACGTGCGATTAGGACGTAGCCCAGTGGGGCCTGACAGATGCTTAGAAAAGGAAGTGTGAGAAAGAAAAGAATCACCATTTTTGAAAAAGAAGGCAGAAGGAGAATGAAGTTAGAGGAGCAAAAATGTCTTAGCTACAGATCTGCGAAAGGTGAGAAGCCTGAGGGGAAGCAAGGGAGGACGACACCTACGGGGAAGTTAAGACACAGATCCTCATCTCAGGAGGTAGGTCAGGGTCAGAGATGATTACCCAACAGTGGATGGCATAGAGGCACAACCGAAACTAGGAAACAGAGGAGACTGTGAAGGAAAGAACACTCCAGAAAAGAGGCGAGCTGGAGAGGTGAAGACACAGGAGAGGGTAACTGATGGTGTGGAGAGGGCGAGCATCCAGAGTGTGGGTGGGTGTAGGAGCCCAAGGAGAGGGGCTTCTTTCAGTCAGGGCAGAGCAGGGCAGCCTAGGTCCCTTCTGCAGGAGGGGCAGGGCAGGAGTAGGTGGGGCTGAAGGCTGGAGGACACTAGGAATGCGTATAGCAGCATCACAGAGCTGAGGGCTTACAAAGGCCCATCTGCAACACTCGAAACTACCTGCTCACACCCATCTTTCCTGATGGGCTCCGGGCTCCAAGAAGACAGAGGCTTGGTGTGTCTTATTCAGCTTTAGTACCTAGAAGCACCTGGCACAAAGTCAATGCTCAGAAAGTTTTGCAGAACTATATATTAAATTGTATGACATTTTTCTCTGACATTACTCAGAAGCCCAGAAGAGTTCTCAGAATTAATGTGCAGATCCTCTCTAAGTAGAAAATAGTTACTGTAGACACCCTAGTGATACCAATTTTCAATTCATTTAAGTATATACAGCCAACTTAAAGCTAGACATAAAATGCTTCGTAGTCCTGGCTCTCACACATTATGAACCAAAATTTACATATGCAAATACAAACTAGGCACTAAAATAATAATTACTCTGTTACAAGGTAGTCAACCAGATAATCCAGATGTTGGTTGCATACTGTTACAATTATTAGCACAAAAGCACAACATTGTTTTACAAATTCTTACAGCTCAAATCACTGAGACTACTTCCCTTGGGTTCTCAGACTTCACTTCGAAATCACTGCATTAATCCATTGGTTTACAGAACAAGTGCAGGCACTGAGGAGGCCTTGGAGTTGCTGACAAAGAGTTAACAAAGAGCACAACAGGTAGGTGAGAGAAAAGGGGCTCATGTAAACAGGGGAGGGAAGAGAGCTGGAAAATAAGGACAGGTTTATCATTTCAGAGACAGGCAGTCTTAGGTAAAAAGGTCTAAGTGATGCTACAGCTTTGGGCAATTGTTTTGGCCAGAGTTCCTTCTGAAAGTAGAGGTCGAGACAAAAACAGGAGTGCAGGCGATTATTATCACCGAGGTGACCCCAGGGAAAGACACAGATACTAAAAAGAGTGAACGGAGACAGCCAATTCAGGAGACTTATTTACCATGGGGGTGCCTGGGGGCTTGATCTGGCTGAGAAGTTTTGAGAAGCATACAGAAACTGTGTCCAGAAGAGGGTCAATGTGGAGAAGTACATTAATTAATTCTAGTCCCCACAGGTAAAAGTTTGCCCCAAGGAGTATTAATTCCCCCACACTTCCAAGAACTACAGTGCATCTGCCCAGAAGGCTACACCAGCTTCTCACCCCACAGACAGACAAGGGAGGTCCCATGAGGAACCTGAGGCATGCTGCAGTCAACCAAAAGTGAGTCATAAAACGAACTGTTCCCAGCAGCACTGGCTGCAATCAGAGAAGAGGCCACGAGGAGGTGAGGACAGAAGGGGTCTCTAATTCAGTGCTCAAAGGCCACTGGAGTCGAAAGACTCAAGAGAACAGCTAGAAAAGAGTGTGAGTTTTATCTGCATGAACTCTTGAAGACCCTGATGATGGCAAGAACTGTGGAGGGTTTTTAAGTCAGACACACATGCATGTACTAAATCAAATATAAACAATCTGTTTTAAAATTTTAGTATTGAAGGGGTGCCTACGTGGCTCAGTGAGTTAAGCATCAGAGTCTTGAGCTTGGCTCAGGTCATGATCTTGAGGTTTGTGCAATCGAGCCCCGAATAGGGCTCTGCACTGACAGCACACAGCCTGCTTGGAATTCCCTTTCTCCCCCTCTCCCTCCCTCCCCAAATGGCACACACATGCACTCTCTCTCAAAATAAATAAATAAATTAAAAAAAAAAACACTGTAATTTAGTATTTAAGATACATGTAGCTCTTATCCATCTACTAGCTGTGTGAAGCTAACCTGTCTTATAAATACCCATCTCCTGGAAGTCAGTGCTTGGCGTTCTTTGTATGAAGTGCAGTATCTTCATATTTAGTAAAGAAACTAAAGGTAAAGGTAACTGAAAATATTGAGGTACCCAAAAACCAAAAACAAAACCCAAACCAGTTAAGCTTAAGGAGGGCAAGGAGTGTGTTATGCCCAGCACTTCACTAACAGGCTAGCACAGAGTTAAGAGAATGGACAGAATGCCTAGCTCCAAATTTCTGAACTATGTTTGAAGATTTTGCTTTTTTTCATTCATAATTATAACCAGAAAAATTTTGACTGATCCACATTAGGGGGGAAACAAGATTTGGAAGAAAGGATAAGAGTTAGAAATAACACGACTGCCAAGAACAGATAAATGTTCATTATTATATCCAGAGACTTATCAAAACCTTTCTATGCTGTTTAACAATAAGGTTTAATCAGAAGCTTTAATATTAGATACTAATTATCATATTAATTAAATATAACTAGATGACTTATTTTAGGTTCCACATCTAAGGATTATTCTACTAAATACACGTTCTAACACTTGGATTCCTAACAATTTATATGTAAAATAATAAAAGCAGCAAAATCTCAATTTTTATATTACATTAGGCAAAATACAGGTTATTTATGAACATCAGTATCACAGATTACCTTACACAAGATCAGGGTAGGAGAGAACATACCTAATACAAATAGAAGACTTGAGGCTTCTGTCAAGGAGAAGCAAACCTAGGAGAGGCTAAAAGAAGGAAACTTCCCTGAAAAGACATCTTACCAGTAGAAACACGAATCTGAATGCTCTACACCAGTGGGATTTCATTCATGGACTGTTTGTAGTCCTGTTTGTAGTTCCACAAAAGGAAGATCTATTTGTTCATTTACAGGGTCAGAGTAGGTATACAGCAGGCACAGACAAGAATAACACAATACACTGAGTTTTGATGATTTAGGGTAATTTGTAGCAAAGTTATCTCACTTTTAATTCACCTTCAAATGATTATAATAATAATAATGATAAAAAATAATAACAGCTATCTGTCCCAAGTGACTCTGTGGTTGGCAATGATATTACCTTTGCTTTACAGATGAGGAAACCAAACCACAGAGAGGTTAAATAACTTCTCCAGAGTCACACAGGTATAATGGAGATCAGACTGTCTGAATCACAAGCTGTGAGATTGGATTTGTGCTTCATGAAACTAAGTTTTTGAAGGTCTACTCAAGTCATTATTGAAAAAAAAAAAAAAAAAGAATATCTGTCCAGTGTGAGAACTGACTCAAAGCATAGAAATGGAAAGGATTTATAATGTTCTGTGAGTTTATTTCTCAGTGCTTCAAACTGAATGGAGGCTAACAAGTTATTTTAATTGTCAAATTTCATGAGTGTACCCACAGGTTTTGCATCTTATTTCTGTGGAGACATTTTACCCTAGTATTATTTTTTTTTTTACCATATTCAAGTTTATCTAAGGGGTCATAATTCATTCCTTAAACAATAAATCATCTTAAACATCTCCCCCAAACAATAACATTTTCGTGGTTAATAGCCTGAACTGCATACATTGTCAAAAACTGCACATAATTATTTTAATCTCCACTCTAAACTCACCTTTATCCACCAAATTAAGTGTGATTTTATGTTCTATTCAAACTTCTAAATATATACTTAATGTTTTTAACATTGTCACAAATAACTCATTTGGCATTTATATTTACATATAACATCTTCAGTAACTTTTTATGTACTAAATTTATAGAAATTAAACAATTACATTTTACAGAAAAATTACTTTTAAAAATACGGTGAGTTACAGTTATTTCAAGTTTTAAAATAAGGTGCCCAAAGCCAAATAGTACAAAAAGAAGTCATCCACAAAAGATTTCTTCCTATAAAATATTTGCAAAGGGTACATTTTTATTCAATACAACCAATTAAATTCAAGTCATTTATTACATATCTACTATACCAGATAAAGCTAGACACAGCTGGAATATGAACCTAGGTCTGATTCAAAAGCTCAAGCTTTCAATATAAGTAGGTTTCTAATAAGAAAAGTTAAGAGTGGGGTGCTTGGGTGGCTCAGTTGGTTAATCTCAGGGTTGGGGAGTTCGAGCCTCACTTCAAGCTCCACACTGAATGCACAGTCTGCTGGGATTCTCTCCCTCTCTCTCTCTCTCTCTCTCTGCCCCTCCCCTACATATGCACTCTCTCAAAATAAATAAATAAAACTTAAAAAGTTAAGGGTTTTCACTTTTCAAATGCTCTTTCAGACAATAGAATTTACTTCCTTTTTTATGTCCTAACTTTTTGTTTATGTATTGAAAGAGAGAAAACACACATGTGAGCCAGGGAGAGGCAGAGGGTGAGTCCCAAGCAGGCTCTGCTGTCAGCACAGAACCCAACATGGGCCTCGACACAGGGATCGGTCCCACAATCCATGAGATTGGTGAGATTATGACCTGAGCCAAAATCAAGAGTAGGATGCTCAACCAACTAAGTCACCTAGGCGCCCCTATGCCATAACATTTTAAAATCTTTTCCCCTTAATGGTAGAAAAGATGAGGATACCTACATTACAGTATATCATGAATCTCTCCTAAAAACATAAGAAAGTTGTATTCATCAAGTCTCTCCCACCATCATTATTTTCTGTATCTGCTTTTTAAAAGGGAAAAAATAAATATTTTTCTAAAATCTAAATCTAGATTTTTCTAAAATCTAAAATATTCTAAAAGAATAGTATTAAATATCAATGTAGACCATAAAAACAACACAGAGCCAAACTGCAAGCCTCAGAGAACTCACATACAGCTCTTCCCACATCTCCCCACAGAGAGCAGACAGATGGGGAAGTCCACATGGAAGGTGCTCAGAAATGCTACTGATCTCTATTCCATCAAATTTCAGGGTGAGAGGGAGGATGCATTCCTCCGAGGCAAGAGCATCTTTCCCCTACAAGAAGAACATTGAAAGTCAACATTTTACTTCCCTTTGTCTGGCAGGAAGATGTATGTGCTGGTGACTATGAAAGTGTTTATGACCCAAACAATAAGCCAAAATTAATGATCAACAAAAACTTAGCAGAAAGGATAAAAAAGAAAAAAAGAAAGAGAGAGAAAATAGGAAAGAGAAAAGGCTAAAAACTCCAATGTGAAGATGCAACTAATACCTCACTAGAAGTCTTTTTCTGCCTAATGCAGAGAAATAGAACAGTAGTCTCAACTAGAAACCTTTCTATAATTCACTACTCCCGCCCAGAATAAAAGAGTGCTTTTTATGAGCACTGACCCCTTCTTACCCAAAGGTGGCATCAACCTGAAGATAATGAGCTCCAACAACAAAGGTTAGTCTGCTCCAAAGCTACAGGCTCACAAAATGATTTGAAACCTGAGAACGGCTCATGACGGGACTAGATGCTTTAAGAAAATGACAATAACTGAATAGACTGAAGCAAAATTCATCACTAGTAAGTACTCTACCCACCTTCTCCAAGGCAACATGAATATTATGGAAGATGGATCACCATCACCTACCACCCAGTCCACAAGTGCACAGGAAAGATAAAGAATGGATATACTGCATGTTGGCACATAAAGAGCCTCAAAGATAAATCAGCTGGC